CTTACTATCAACAATGGAGGCAAATGGAGGGAAATGGATTTCCTCTGAATACTGAAGAATGTGTTTGGGGTTTTGTTTGTTTTGTTATTTATTTATTTATTTATTTATTCATTTTGGTTTTGTTTTGAAGACAGGGTTTCTCTGTGTAACAGCCCTAGTTGTCCTGGAACTCACTTTGTAGACCAGGCTAGCCTCAAACTCACAGAGATCCACCTGCCTCTGGCTGGGATTATAGGGTTGTGACACTACACCTGGAAAACAGAGTTTTTCATTCTTTTGTTTTTGTTTTCGTTTTTTGAAACAGTGCTTCTCTATGTAGGCCCAGCTGTCCTAGAACTCACTCTAGACTAAGATGACCTCAAACTTAGAGATCTGAGGATAAAACTGACTCCCCAAAGTTGTTCTCTGACTTACACATGAGCACAAACACACACACACACACACAAACACACACACACACATGCATGCACGCATGCATGCACAAACACACATAAGCACACACACACACACACACACACACACCAAATAAATAAATAAGTAAATAAATAGGTTTGGCCAATACAGTCAGACTTTATGTTTTTAAGTGACTTTTTCTTTTGTTTGTTTTGGTTTTCTTTAAGAGAGAGAAAGAACATGAAGTTGGGATGTTCTGGGAAGAGTCAAGATATAGGAAAGAATACAACAAAAATATGCTGTGTGAAATCCTCAAGTAATATATTTAAAAAACACATCTTTTCAAAATTAAAGTATGTCCTGTATTAAAAAAAATAACTCCCCTTCAAGTCATTCCAGGGTTAAATTGCACCTCTGAATATGCATTAACTTGAAAACAAGTACTTACAGTGGCCAAAGTGTATAGGTTAGGGAAGGTTTTTGTGGGGTACACAGGCCTCATGTAGGGAGCATGTGTGCCACAGGACCCTAGAAGTAGAAAAATGAGTTATCAGGACAAGAAAACCATCCAGAACCACTTCATGTATAAAATTCATTTTCTCAACTATGGAAAACACATTATTTTTCCTTTTGTATCTCCAATAATAAAACTTATTTTAAAAAAAAGAAAGAAAGAAAGGACGACAGACAGGCAGTGGCTCCATGGCTCCAGAAGCCTGTAGCAGAGCAATGACTATCATGAAGGACAAAAGAAAACATAAAGTGGAGAAATGACTTACGCAGTTTCTCAATGTTAGGCATGACCTTGCTGCCTTTCTTCATGTACGATGCTCGGAACCCATCCACAGAGAAGATGATTAATGGAGGGCGGACAAACCTTAAATAGTAACACAGTAAACCTCAGAGAAACTATTGCCACACACATCAGTATCTAGTCACATATGTGTATATGTCTATGTTTTGTATGTATTATGTATTTTCTCCCATTTGTAACCTGGAAAGTTCTTACCCAGTCTTTATAACTCAGCTCAACGTTTCCTTTTCTGTGATGTAAGATGTCCATGACTCCAAATTGCTGTCTGATGTTAAGACATACCTCCTTTGCATTTATGCACGCATTATTATTGTGTATCTTATTATAGTCATCTGTTAACAGGCTTCTCTTCTAGAGTTTCATGCTGGCCTGGAGCTTGCTATGTTGACTAGGCTGGCTTCAAGCTCACAATGCTCCCGCCTCAGTCTCCATGGATTACAGGCATGTACTACCATGTCTGATTCTAACAAATACTTATCAGATATATTAGTGAATTACTGACTACATGAATGAAGTAAAACTAACAATAGCAACACTCTTTCCACTAGACCTAAGCATCATAAAAACATTTCTCCATGTATATTATAAAATTCTTTCCAAGGTTATTTAAATTATGAAGAATTTAAAAAGTCTATCAGCAAAGGACTCTTAATCCAGGCAAACAATGGATGAAATAGTACTGTATTATTCTAAGGGTGTAGTTTGTCAGTCATAGTAGAATATTGAACTATGTACACAGTTCTTTGTAATAATTTGAAGCTAACTGAGCAACTCTCAGCTTGTGACTTAGAAATCATGTAACAAATAAGACATTTTAAGGGGAATCAGATATAAAACAGTCAGCAACTGTTTCATCCCACTCCACGCATCTAAAGTGTTTAGATGTCTTTATTTTTCTTTCCTTTTGTGCCTAATTAAGATTTTTTAAAGGAAGGAAAAATAAAGATATCCAATACCTATAGATATTTAAAGATTAAATAAATTATGAAAACACATTTGTTGAAAACGTATGTCCATGAAGTCTACAGTTTCCTGGAAGGTGTAAGTGTCCAGTTTTGGTCACACTTGAGCTATTAGGTATCACTCAGTCTGACTGTCCCCCAGCAAGGCAGTCCTGTGGCAGAGTAGAGGATTTCTGTCAAATCTGGTAGAAGTTACCTTCTTGGATGCCAGCTTTTAGAAGATCTAGACTCTCCTTCCCTTCCCCTCCCTCACACATTAACAAAGGCAAAAACAGAACTCAAGGAAAACTCCTGAGGGTGGGGCAGTTGGGTGGTGGGGGGGGGGCAGAATGGGAGGGCCCAGCTCACTGGGGGAAATGCATCCTTTAAGTCATCAGCAGATGCCCTTTGGTGGCCGCAGCAGACACCAAGACTCCACAGTTCACAGCAGTGACAGGGGACAGTGGAAGAGAAAAAGGAACATCAAAGCTTGGAGAAAGGACTGGTGACATGACTCAGTGGTCAAACTGGAAGATCAAACACAAATCAAAATCCTTCTTTCCCATCACACACACACACACACACACACACACACACACACACACACACACAAATATACAGACACACACACACACAGCCATGCACACACATACACATACACACAATAATGCATAAATGTGTTTTCCTTTATTTTTTTAAAAGCTTTAAGATAGCTTGATTGACAACAAGAACTCATGTAAGTTTATGGATATCCATCATAAAATGTTTGTAGACATTTATCCATTTATTTTTCATGATGGTTTATAAAGGAATGGGGAATAATTCATAATATCCAAAAGACAAAATATGCTCACCCTGCAGGGCATTCGGGAGCTTTTATTTCTTCACAGTCATCATCTACCCAGTGTGATTCTCCTACAAGAAAAAATAAGGACATTTATTGCGAAGTCTATTTATAGACACCATCAAGAGTACAGATGCAAAATGCCAGAATCTGTGTCCTGTTTGCTACTTGTTTCTGGGACACCATCTAAAAAGAAGTTCTGAAATAAAGTCTAGTGTCTGCTCTGGCTTTTAAAGTACACCCATACATGGTGGGAAAGCTAAGATTTAATAACCTCAAATGGTGTTTATTTCAGCTTTCAGAGCCTAACTGGTTTGTAAATTTAAAAAAATTAAAAAAAAAAACAGTGGCGTCAGTGGACAAGATTTCATGTTTGTTTCCCTCCAAAAATAAACTGTTTGGTCATTAGATGGAACATTCTCTCCCTCCCCAGCCACTAAAGGCCTAAAAGCCATAGAAAGCACGACACAACTTTCCTTCAGATAGAGAAGGGTTTATGTTGTTATAATAATATGCAAGGATAACATGAAAAATTGCAAGGTAGCTTTTACAGATGAGCATGTGTATAGCACTGAACAAATGAAAATCCAAGCTGTCTTTCACTCTTTCTTTGCCTCATGATCTGAGGACATAAGTCCTGTATGTGTGGAGGTCACAGGTCAACGTCAGGTCTCTTTTCTCTGTCACTATCCATATGATTGATTTACTGAGACAAGATCTCTCGGTGAACCTGAAGTTTATGGATTGCCTGGATTTGCTGGTCGGTGAGCCCCCAGAATCTTGCTGTCTCCATCTTCCACCTTGCCTAGCCTTGCCTTGTGACATGGATTCTGGGCCCTGAATTCAGGTTCTCATACTTCCTCTGCACCATAATTTCCTCAGCCCAGAGTTGGTATTGAATTAGGCTTCTGCTGTGGTTTATACCCCGGAAGTTCATGTGCTATGGTAGCCATCTCCAGTGTGGCAGACCCTTTAAGAGGTGGAGCCTAGGGGAAGAATTTAGGTTGTGGGAAGATCATTCTCACAAGAGATAAATGCATGTTTCTTAGGGCTTCACTAGTTCCCACAAGAATGAGATCTCTTCATTGTGATAGAATCTGCCTTGTTACAATGTAGCCCAATAGTCAATCATTAAAGGTCAAACAGATGGGGCTTCCAGGAGGGGACTTTTAGCCTCTAAACTGTGAGCTATCTTATGGGTAAAAAGGCCTAGTAACACAAGAGATATGAAGACAGCATTCTTTGGGGAAAATTAACAATAAGAATTTACCTTATGTTTCTCTAAGACAGACAAAAATGACTTGTCTTGAACAGACATAATACTCGTGGCCAGTATCTTTAGAAATTTCTCCCATATATAGAACACTTGGAAATCTCCCACAGCCCAGGACCATCTGGGGAATGGATGGCAAGGTAGGCTAGTAAGGAATCTGAATTATCTTTACCAAGCACGAGTTACTCAGGGCAGCCATGTGAGGCTCACTGGAGTATGAAATCAGAATTCAAACCACCAAAAATGGACTTAACCTGTCATGATTTGGTGACAGACAGTATCCAAGACCTTTCTCCTTTTTTTTTTTTATTTCCCTTCTCTTAATAATCTTTGTGTTTGCCTGTTATATTTACTACATAAAGATTAAAAGGAAAGGAGAAATAAATTCTTGATGAATGTTATGCTCCAAAATGAAAAGTATAACTGCTAGGGTAGAGCAAATTTCATAATACAATAGCAGTAAAAGGAGATTCCCAGATCCATTCACACCTCACAGAAACGACTTTGTTTTTTCCTGAATTTTTTTTCGTTTCTTAAGTAGGGATTTAATCCATGCTAGCACAGGCTATATCCCTATCTAGCCCTTCAGTGAAGTCATTAAACAGAAACACTTCATAACCATTCTGTGCCAGAGATAGGAAAAGGACTTAAATTAGGAAATAGGAGGTGATGTAACATACAGATTAAAAAATAATAATAGTGTTGTTTTTGCTTGAACATCTCTAAGTGGCTGTCACGCTTCCTTAAATGGCTTAATATCTGGAGCTGCAACTTTCTTGTCTTCTGTAGGCCACAAGCTATAGAGGTCATAAAAACATCATATTCTACCATCAACATCCATGCACGTACAAGTTATACAAATAAGGCTTTGTGGGCATGACTGGATCTGTTGATGCTTTATTGTCTTCACCAAAAAGCATCCCAGCCCTAAGCTGCTGCTAGGGCCCTGGCAAATGGCTTTCATCCACTGGGA